ATGTTAAAAATTGCGAAATATTATTAGCGATTTTTTTCAAGGAAAAATCGACCCCCTCACTGAATTCAGCATCCTTTTGATTAGGTTGAGCGCAAAATTTCATTGAAAAATTTCAATTCAAAGTTATAACAACAATAATTTTGATTGCTCACCATTTTGTATGAATATTTGAGACAAATTCTGAGAAGTCACACAATGGTTTGAATAATTCATAACATTTTGAGATATGTCACAAACAGCTAATTTCATATTTTTGGTATTTTTGAAAAGAATAAAATGAAACTGCGGAAACGTATTATTTATTCACTATAAAATAATAAAACAATAAATATAAATACATATAAACAATATGGCTTCACTACATTAAAATTTTCAAATTTCAACATTTTTACAGAACTCAACAAAATAGGTAATAATTATTTCAACCGATTACAAGATTTTATTCGCTAATAAATAATATTCATAAGTATTCTAGTTGATGAAATAGTTTTGACTAGAAGCCAAAACCATAACAAAGCCTTGGGATTTCTGATCATTCAGTCATTAATGTTACATTCACACATAGTACGTTCTGCTAGAACATCACAAATGAAAAATATCATATTCATCTCTAAAAGGACAATGTAAAGGAATGTATGGAAATTAATGTGACTCTTTGTTTGAAACTATGTCACACAGGTATGGGGTTTTTATAAAATATTCTTGTCAAACACGAGTTATTGTGATTCTGCTACCGAAAAAAAAAAAAAATCATTAGAAGAACAGCCAAAAACAAAGAGTCAGGCAAGAAACGGTGCTTTTTTAACATTTATTGTGTTTCTTTACTAGGACAATTCCAAAAACTCTCTGTACCAATTACACTGAAATTCAAGTTTTTAGGGTAAACTTAATTTTCATGACTTTCTCCAGAAAGGAATTTCTAATATTTCCTAATATTCTTCAGATCCCTAAAACAATTTAGATCACACCCATTGATAATATATACTCCATGAGTATGGAACGAGCTTTTTTGCAAATGTGTTTAATTTTTCATACACCCCTATGATGCACCATACAAATAAGAAAAACAAAAAACAAAAAAATTTTAGGTCTCAATATTCAATGCCCTAAATGCATGATCATTTTCGCAGTCATTTCAAACCTTGTATAACGATCTGTTCCATACTTTATGTTCACATTATTTTATAGAGCAATTTTATTGACTAATGAAATACTGAAGAGGTTGAGAATTGGAGAAAATAATACAAATGCGGTCCACAAAAAACCAACCTTTGAGAACCATTTACAATTTGTTGAATCTGCTCGCGCTAGACATAAAACTAACTCAAGAGATAGTACATTGCCTACAATGTTCCCTGATTCTTTTGAGGAAACCATGAATGCTAGAATGAGCCTTTCCAGTGATTTCTAGAAAATATATATCTTGAAATACAGGGTGATCCACGGTGGATGGCCTATTAGAAGTATCTGGAGAAAGAGAAGACAGAACATTCTGAAAATTGGGATGCTTTGATGATTGAACATTCTCTATCCGTCTGAAATAATTTCATCGATACAGTGTTGCCACTTCTATCAGAAACAACTAGCAACTTTGTTATTTCAAATGGAACACCCTGTATTATATAGCATTTTTAGATTATTCCTGAAGAGCTGATTTCATCAGTGCATCACACTTGGGGTCTAGCAGGAATGATTACAGAGATATAGGGTGTTCCAAATCGAGATTTTTCAATTTCAGGATTTTTTGTGTCTAAACTATTCATTATCGATCAGGACGGCTTACATGTCCCTATCTTAACTTTCGATTTACTATCTACTGACATTTAAGTGGAACGGATATAGGGTGATCAGAATTCTGAATCTTGAAGCACCCTGTAGTTTTCCAATAAAATTCCAGTAGATAGCGAATCAAAAGTTAAGATAGGGACATGTAAGCCGTTTTGATTGATAATGAATAGTTTCGACACAAAAAAATCCTAAAATTGAAAAATCTCGATTTTGAACACCCTATATCTCCGTAATCAATCCCGCTGGACCCCAAGTGTGATACATTGATGAAATCAGCTCTTCAGGAAGAATCTAAAAATGCAATAAAATACAGGGTGTTCCATTCGAAATAACAAAATTGCTAGTTGTTTCTGATAGAAGTGGCAACACTGTATCGATGAAAATATTTTAGGCGGATAGAGAATGTTCAATTATCGAAGCATCTTAATTTTCAGAATGTTCTGTCTTTTCGTTCTCCAGATACTTCTACTAGGCCATCCACCGTGGATCACCCTGTATATGGCTCTGGAATAACTTCAAATGATTTTGAGATTTTTTCCCATCAATTTATCATATAATAATAAATTATTGAAAACGGCAAATTGAACCAGCGAATTCAAACGAAATTTGGATTCGTAATGCCATCTTTCCCTCGCGGGTCCAATAAAATGCACAATGGACTTGACAATGATGCCAATTTGGACAGAAATCTATGATTAGTCGAATATTCATTTCTCGATTTTTTCGTTTCAGCAAATAATACAGATGCTGTTAAAAAACTCAATAAAAAGATAATACCTAAGTATCTACCTGAAAATTGGTGGTCCTGAAAAATTGCATTGCATATTAGTTCATCTATGGTTAGATGAGTGATTTCTGTTGGCGGATTATTCAAAATTGTAAGTGAAATTTCATTTTATATTGAATTACTGTAGATATTCGAGACATTCGCTTCAAATCCCTTCCGGTAAAGTACTTTCAAGTTTAGGTACTCACCTACAGGACCAGGAACAAATTTTGAATCAATCAATACTAAACTAATCACTTGGTTTTATTTTCTATTGATTTTAGTACAAGCATCACTGCCTTCTTGTCAATAATACTGGAAAATGAGAACAGTGAAGTTATGCGGAGAATGAGGTATTTTAACTTAGCAACATTGTGTTAGCGCTTCATCTCTTTCTCTTGTAAACATAGTTGCCACATTAACAATAAATTTTCCGGGAATGAGTAATTGAGATTATAGTAACACTCATCAATTTGTTGATTATAACAATTAGTCAACAAATAGATAACATCATAACTCAAACCAAACTATATGAAAAGCGCCTTACTGTTAAATGCTTGGATCACATTTTATCCCAGCTAATCTTCAAACTGATGGAATATATGTCGGAGCTCTGAATAAATTGAGTGTCATCAGCAGTGAATTACCAATCAACTAATCACCTATTATAGGTAATTTCGAATCATGGCATTCCTTGCACATAAGATTGATTCAAGGATTTCATACAGACCTGGCAACAGCGGCGTGCTTCCCACCCGTCAGATTTCGTCAGAAGCTCCAACCAATCAAATTTCAAGGATACACTGGCATCACATCTATCTCAGTAGCATTAGAAATCACAGGTAATGAAATAGCATTTTCAATATTGAATAATTCAGTTGTTCGATTTTCTCGATAAATATATGGTCAGGATAACATTTCTGACTTTCCCAATCTTTAAATGACAAGCAGTACACGAGCGTCTCCCGACACAACCATCTTGGCACATCCGCACATCCAAGGTCAAATATGATTTGTCATATGTCAAATATGTCAAGTGGTGCAAATTATTCTGATTTCTTTAATAGGCCTTCTCATTTAGATGACAAATGACTATCTCTGTTTACATCTAGAATCCAACGACAGAGGCGGCCATTTTCACCGAAACACTTACACCACAGTACCACACGACTCCTCAGTAACAACTAATTAACGTTTTTTGGAATTGAATTATTATAATACAATTAATACACACCAGGAATATATAAACAAAAATACTATGTTGTTATTGTTTCTCAATGACGAATGCCCATGGTGGTTGACACTGTTGACATTTGACAGAACGTCAATAATACCCGCCGCCATTTTGTGTTGGAACTATAGCCAATGAGACTTCACCTTCGCATTACCCAATAAATTCTTGGATCTGAAAACGAGCGCATGCGTCTTAAAAATATATCTAGATGAAAAGGCCTATTAGAGGGTTCGATTAGCGCCTAGAAGTCGTAGAAGTTATATTTTTCAATTGAGTTAATATGTTATAATTTTATATTTGAAATGGAGGATATAAAGAGGAGATGTGAAATAATAATAGGTATGTGTGAAGCACCAATGTCCCTATCTGAAGAACAACATCGATATATTTCTGAATAATTGCGATAAAATTATAGACATGATGAATGAAGGAAAGACTATGATCATTTTGGAACAAAGCAAATCATTAATAGTAATAAAAAAACAGAAAAGCGAGTGCGTCCATTTTTTACTAAGAAGAAAACAACCAAATATGCTACAATATTCGAAAAACCAAGATATAATCGGTAGTCTTTTAAATAAAACTGATTTTTAGGATTTCTTCATAACCTATTCATAACAGATATTGTTCTATATACCGATAGTTTATTGATGTATTGAACATTTATATGTCTGAAACTTATTCCATTTTCTATTTGTACTAGCATTAATAGTTCTATGTCTCATTAATTTTCTTTATAAATAAATCTACTTTCCCTTGTTGTGACCTTTATTAAAGAGTCCTTTTTGTATTGTACCAAAATATTGACGAGATAAGTATTACGAAGTTCATTTCAAAAATTGGCGGCAATATTTAGCTTCATGTTGTACAATATCTGACCTTGGATGTGACAAGATGGTTGACATAAGTATTATGAAGTTCATCTCGAATATTGGCGCCAATATTTTTTTGTATTGTACCAAAATATTGACGAGATAAGTATTAAGAAGTTCATTTCAAAAATTGGCGGCAATATTTAGCTTCATGTTGTACAATATCTGACCTTGGATGTGACAAGATGGTTGACATAAGTATTATGAAGTTCATCTCGAATATTGGCGCCAATATTTAGCTTCATGTAGTACAATATCTGACCTTGGATGTGACAATATGGTTGCGTCGGAAGTCACTCGTACCAGTACAACTACGTCACAGAAAAAAAACCTCCACTCCTCACTGCCTGGGCCTGGCTGGCAAAGGAGGGGGCGGGGCCGAGCGTGCCGGCACAGGGGGCGGACCCCGCGTCCCAGTGGGCGGACTCCCCGCCTCCGCCCTTGGCGGCGGAGGAGGCGGTCCCTGCGGCTCGGGCCCGCCCGGCGAGTCGTCGCCTATCTCCTCGTACACGCCCTCGTCCTGGGCGGGAAGGTCGGGGGGCGGTAAAGTGGGCGGGGCCGAGGAAGGCGGAGGCGGCGACTTGATCGGCATGCTGATGACGCCCGCCTTGGGCATGGCGCGGCGAGGAGAGGGTGGCGGGGTGGGCTTAGCGGTGGGCGGGGGCGGTCTGCCAGGCGGCAAGGGGCGGGGCGGTCTAGGCACTTCTGGGATGCCTAGGCCTGCAAATGATGGATTATTTGACTGTCTGACTTGAGATGTTATCCACTTTAAGAAAAAATTATTAGCACCCATAGGAATCCTAAAACGTCTTAGCCTTTGTGAACGTAACTAGATGTGTCTAGTCAGATCATAATATTTTTTTCAATACATTGTCATTTCCAATATCTCACAGTACTTGAGAAATTTCCAGAAACACGTTGATTTTTATTTTCAAAGGACCCCGCACCATCTACATTGGAAAATCTAGGATTGAATAGATCAAATAATGCTGAACAAGAAACGACTTTTGGTCCAAGCTCCGGTATGCCCTGCCAAACGAGATAACCTCTCTACCAGAACAGCACATCCTGCGTGTAATATGGCTTTGGCCAATATGATTCTTTTGAGTTGTCAGATAATGGTCATTCATGTTATGTCAGTAAAAGTCATTGAGCAAAAGCGTATTACCTTGTTCAAATTCATATAATATGGCTTATCAGAATAGGTTTCGTTGCTTTATATGCGATAGCGAAGACAATGTTGCCTTGGCACGCATCGAACCTGATCAAAATGTTGAGCAGCAAGCAATCGCAATACATCGTCGACAGGTTCTAGGAAGTGAGGATATACCCCTAACCGATCGTACTCGTTTACTTCTGAACTGAAAATGATCCTTAATAGAGGAACTTGGAATTCGGGATAACGTTCATTCTATGAACCTGAATATTGTCTTTCCCATCCATGGAAGAGTGTGCATATTTTGTGGCGCAAATAATAATTTTCTTTACCTATTAGTTGCTAGAGTCAACGTATATATTGTGAATAATATTTGTATCCCTAAAAATGCCCAATCTTGTCGGTAACATGTCAACGCTGATGGTATTATATTGTGACCATTGATTGGTGGTTTACGTTACACGGAAAGACCACTAATAGTATTTGAACAAAGTAAGACGCTTGCTCAATGACTTTAACTGACATAACATGAATGACCATTATCTGACAACTCAAAGATATCATATTAGCCAAAACCATATTATACACAGGATGTGCTGTTCTGGTAGAGGTTATCTCGTTTGGCTTCAAGAGCTTATAACTCTTTTTAGCGGGCATAACGGACCTTGGATCAAAGGATATTTCTTGTTCAGTATGATTTGATCTATCCCATTCTAGATTCTCACGAAATTTCACCGTAGACATGATTTCAATGTAAATGGTGCGGGGTCCTTTCCACATCTATTAATTATTGAGTATTTAGATCTCAATATGCTGTGAAGAAGTTTCGTCAAAATTTGCTTGGAAATATTATTATCTAGTCAGTGCTGTGTCAATCTGGGTGTCTGGGTTCATGTATTGTGAGTATATTGAATGTTTTTCACTACAATGTTCATGACCAATAATTCCTAGCATTTCATAATATGTTGAGATATGATATTGTTATATAGGTTTTCAATGAAAACATCATCTGTGGAAAACCTTCATACTTATATCAATCTTTCAAATCCTTAGTTTTGATACAGAATCGAATACCAAACGATTTCACATTTTTTTTCGGAAAACATTCCGATGGTATTCTGAATTTAATGGAATTATTGCCTAAATTACAAAAGAATGATGGAATACTCACAGTTATAATCAGATTGATTTGGTGAACTATACAGAGGAACTGTATTGCTGGAACACAAACCAATTTCTTCTTTGGCTTGTTCTACCCAATTCGGGGTTTTGAGAGAAAGGGTGAAATCATGATCTTGAAACTGAAATGAAAAGATTCAAATTATTCAATGAATCAGCCATATCCTGATGTTCACAAATTTCTTACTCAACTGTTTTGTTTTGAATTATTAGTATTTTTAAGTAGTGAATCACCTTCAATAATCCATTAGTTTTCTTCATTGCTTCCAAGACAGCCTGTCCATCCCTAAAGGTAATCCACATAGTATCAGCAACGAACCTAACCAAGATAGTCTCTCCAAATTGAGCAAAATCTTCGAGAAGCACCATGACCAAATTATCATCGAACAAGCTGGAATCTTCGTTTTGAGCCGTCTCCTCACAATGCACGATCAAAGTAGCATCAGGAGGGCCCATATCTGCTATGACTTCATAAAACACCTGCTCGCGTTTATCTTCCCTAATAGTTCTTGTTTCGATATCAATGATGGCTATGACCGGCCTGTGATCGCTTTGCTTGAGCTCGGCCCTTCCGTAAAAAACAAGCTTCCCAGGGGACTCTTGACCGGTCCCGTTCAGCTCGGGAGACTGGTTGCGTCTCTTCCAAAGCACTCTATCTGTCCAAGCGGGAGCGCGACATTTCTCGCTGGTATCATAGTCATCACTGAACAAGTCGTACTTGTAAGTAGGAGGGAATGTGATGTCACCTTCGATGAACATCTTGAACACGTTGCCTTCTGCCTGCTGCTTCTTCAGCTGGTCCTGTTGCAGGATAGTCTCGAAGTCGCCTTGCCTTACTAGCTCTTTGATTTCTTCTTTGTCCATGTCGATTCTGTAGTTGAAATCGCCACACCAGAAGAGATATTCGTGCGAGTTGAGAGAGCGGCTCATGGGGAAGGCTATTTTTCTGGTTATCTCGTTATAATCCGCGTTTCTTTCGGTTACTTGAGATTGGCCGGCAGCAAAATGGGCACACACGAATGCTATGGATGTGGCGTGGAATACTAGCCGTATAGCAGCGGCGCCTAAAAATTTATTAATCAGTGGCGTAGCCATTGGCATTTCAGGATTGTGAGAACTACATTATTCAGATTCTTTTAACGAAGTTCCAATTAGGTAGGCATTCGTTTCATTCCCAGGCTTTTCACTAGTTAATATTCATTTTCAAAAACAAAAAATATCAAGAAGTAATAACACATGGGAAACTATCTTTATTATTAAATTCTACTCGTCAAAAATACGTCCATTACTTGGAGCTTGAAGAAATGGAGAAAATATCAGGAATATGGAAGATGCTGTACTGAGTAGTTACCATATTTGGAGATAGGAGGATACCATTACACAAATCGTGGGATCCGTTTTAGGAAAAAATATTTCCACAGCCATTTCCATTGAATTTAAGTAACAAAGCAACTCTCAGGATGCTTTTGAACAACAAGATTTTCCCATATATCCTGATAAGAAATACTTTTTCATGCAAAAATCATTTAGTTACGATGATGCCATGAAATTCATCTTTCAATGAGAAATGCAATTTTGTGAAAAAATCTGTGCCAACCTTCCGGATAGTTCAAACCGGCTCAGCGTCGTTGCTGTGAGAAAGAAATTCTGTAATAGTACCATAGATACGTCTTTCATGTTTCACTTTGACAACAGTCACCTATTGTCTGTAATCAGTGGAAAAATTACGCGGGAAGAAAACTAATAAAATGTAGAGCTCGTTTTCCTGTTTCTACTTGGAATTTATTTGAACTCATACAAAAAAAATTGTCCAGAACGAATAACTCCTTGGAAGCTTTGCACAATTCGTTTCAACATTCAGCGGATTGCCACCATCTATGGCTTTATAAATTGATTAATCGTCTGAAAAGGAACTGAATCAGGCTGAAATTTTCATCCCCCGCTTCAAATGCGGCCCCGGATATAAGAAGGGGAATAAAAGCAGATATGTGCAGTTCGACAAAAGATTGAAATAAATAGTGAGAGATCATAACTTCGACCAAATTGAAGACAGTCTACAATTTGAGTACTTCTTTGATTTTTATGTTCAAAGACTTGTTTGTTATAGTCCAATAAAGATTTGAACCTAAATTACTGTTTGCATCACTTCTCACGCTTTTTTTATGTAAATAATGAGTGTATGCGTTGTCCGCACTTGTTGAATTTCAGAGCTCATTTCAAACGAACCGTCATGGCGGCCATTTGGCGATCAGTCAGTTTTTATGCTGTCTCGTTATTGGTCAGATAATCTTCCATTTCCACTCTTGAAGCAAGGCTGTCAAGTCAGCAATTATAATCAAGTTATAAAAAAGATGTAAGAGTCCTGTCGTTGAATAAAAACATAATAGGAGGAACTCATGACATTAAAGTTCATTCTTGACTTTTTTGGGCAACCACCATGTCCAAATATTTCTTATTCTCCATAACAAAATATCATGTGAATGTTGGAGACTTGGCAACATTGTGCTGAACTGACAAGACCACGCCCACAGGTCGTGCGCGGGGTTGTCACGTTCACAGATTCAAATGTCCTCTAGTATGAATCAATATAATTATTATTTACACAAATTTATTATAAGCTATGAGCCACAAATCATAAGGGAACATTTTAAGCCAATTGAATTTTTATTGCTAATTAGGAATATTCTCAATACTTAATTGATAATTTATGAATTATTGAATAACTAATATTTCTGTTCCCAAGTTCCCAACCGTATTTCAACACATGTGCTATGGTCTGTCCCTACTGACGAAATCGTGCCGTTAGATTTTACGGGTGGTGAATTTCTAGCTGTTTGAAAATTACCGTGGCAATATTGATGATTTTAGCGCCAAAAAATCGACGAAAAATTCTTAAAAAATATGAAATTGAGAGGTATTTGAGTGATCATTATATTTATTTATTTATTTATTTATTTATTTATTTCAACGGTTACACCATTTTTATAAAAAAAAAATTACAACAAAAATATGAATAATAATAGTAGGAGCAATGAAAATTACACTCATAGAAATGTAGCACTTATTATATTAATCAGGTATTCCTAATTGTTTTCACAACATTAGTTTTGAATTTACCTAGACTGCCACAGAATAGGTCACAATGATTTTGAAGAACAACATAATTCCTTTGTAGCCTTGAAATAGGGTTATTGTTGCCATAATTCGTTGAGTGAAAAGTCAAGGAAAATAAAGGAGGATTTCTTGTTCTGGTCAATGTATTAAATCTAATCAAACTAAGCAGATCTGGAGAATTGATAAGGCCATTGACCAATTTATATAGGAAACACATATCCAACACTAATCTACGATTTTCTAAAGTTAGTAGATTAAGCTCCATTAAGATATCTGGGTAGTTTATAATATGAGCAACATGGTAACTCTTGCGATATGAATATGTTCTCAGGAACCTTTTCTGAATTCGCTCTAAACTATCAATATGTATTTGATAAAAAGGCCTCCAAATGATGGAACCATACTCAAGTGAAGGTCTAACCAGATGGCAATAAAGTGAACTAAGTGTTTCAGGAGAGAATTGTTTACTGTTCCTAGTAATAAAACCTAAGTTCCTTGATGCAGTGTTCACTACCTTAGTAATATGACTTCTAAAAGTTAGTTTAACATCAAATGTTATGCCTAAGTCCTTTATCTCATTGACTCTCTTCAATACAGAGTTATTTATTCTATAAGCGTTTTCAATATAATTATGACCCATTGAGAAGGTGATACAAAACCACTTTGAAATATTGAGGTCCAAGTAATTAACTCTAGACCATACATGGAAGTTATTCAAATCAGATTGCAGCAGATCAATATCCATATGATGCTGAATTTCTTTATATATTTTGGAGTCATCAGCATATAATGTAAAAACAGAGTGAAAAATATATTTGCTAATATCGTTGACAAACAAATTGAAAAGTAACGGTCCACAATGAGAGCCTTGAGGCCTTGAGGAACTCCTGACAGTACTGGAATTACGTTAGATAAAAAACTTTTGATCCTCACCTGCTGTTGACGACCAACTAAGAAACTTTCAATCCATGCTACCAAACCAAGATTTATACCCATATTTGAGGAATAAATAAAATAAGTCCACTTGCTTACCTTTATTCCCTGTATGTCCTCCCATTCCTGTTTTGACAGAATCCACTGCCACATCCTTGATGAATGGAACATGCTCTGGCCTCACATAGACATACACACAGACCCCCACCAGCTGTTGATAAGTAAGCAAAACGTAAGGCCTGTCTCTCGATAATACTTTTTGCAGCTCTATGGCCCAAGCTTTAGCATTCTCTGTGCTTGAGTTCATGATGTTTGCAGCATTAAGATCGACTATCTCTTCGAATCCGATAGCGTAGATGTCTACAGGTATGGATTTGTGCTCATCAGTATAACCTGTATCTACTAGACTTCCCTTGTTTTTGGTGTGTGGGTCTAGGAGCCAGTCCGAGAGTTGGATTTCTTTAAAGACAACACTTCGGAAGTGCTTTCCACCGTTCACATTGTAAGTACCTACTGCTACACGAACAGGGAGTGGTTCAGTGTATTCCATGTGACGTCTACACATTTCTCGAAGAACATGATTTGGAGCTACAGAATTAATAAGCGATAATATAATGATAGGAACGAATGTAAATGGAAAATTTACCATGTAGGGTATTGTATGGAAGAAGTGTCCTAGCTCTATCAGCTAACTCTGTAGAGAGAGTGGAACCTAATAAGAGAATATCAATTGCCTCCTGTTTGGAATTATCTAACAAATTATTCTGTATTGTTCTTGCAGCAGATCTTGCACCATCCATCAACTGAAATCAACGGCATAATACTATTCTGATTTTCTTTGAGAATAATGTAGAATAAAATCGGAAATATACAACTAAAACATATAGCTTTTGACATGGGTGCATGAATTATTTCAAAATTGTATATTAACATCGCTAGTTTTCTTTTTGGGAGAAATTTGAAATTGTTTCATATTTTTTATTAGTCCTAAATGGTGCCACTGAACTCAAGTTGGAATTTATTGCAGAAAATTTCTTGTTCCATTCAGTGATTTATTTCATCAATATTCAATGGTTTCATGGTAATAAGAATAGTAAAGTTAGTTCATCAACATCTTGAAATATAAAAACTAAGTGGTGTAGGACATATGACAGCATCAATCAAGGAATTATGTCCTAGAATAATTTCAATATTGGTTTCATTTTCCTTTACTTACTTTTGAACCACCCTGTATAGCTCCAGTACCAGCATAAATTTTGCTAATTTCATTTCCATTGTTTATCCACATCTGCTTGAAAACCTCCTCAAACCTAGATATTGTTTGTTTTTTATCAACTAATTGCATTGCAATCAACTGTTTGGCTAAAATCTGAAGAATATGTTAATCAAGAATGGGGTGAATCAAATTCAAAATAATATCTATTACCTCTAATCCAAGGAATGTCTGTACACAATTTGTTCTATCTAAACAATCTAAGCAGTTGGTGCGGATAGTCCCTTTCTGTAAACTGTAAAATTCATGAGACTTTATTCAAAAATTGTTGGATGTTGGCACCTATTTACCTAAAATTTGTTGTGCAACTTGCATGGTAAAAAGAGAAGTCTAGCAACTGTTGCTCCAATTTTGCTTTCAACTTTTGCAAATTTGCTGAACTTCCCCCTCTACATTCCTGATGATAATCAAAAACTATGTGTGATATATCACTGTGGGAAGACTCTTTATGATGTTTCTAAAAATCAAATGCCACATCATGAATCACTACACACATTGAACAAAGAAATACATTGCTCCCTGTTCATTTTAATGATTATTCCTACCTGAAATTCCTGGCTTAGTGTAGCTTCACCTTCTTTATTGCCAATAAGACTGGTGCCTAGTAAATTCAAGATAACTTGTTTGCCATATCTTTCTTTGATTGTGTCCATGTGTCTATTGAAAGCAGATTTAGATGCCTCATATCCTCTAGAAATTCTCACTTTATGGGATCCAACCTGTACTCCAGGCTGTTCCCAGAAAAGGGGGACAGAACCCCTAGTCTGTAGGTAGGAAGTTACTTCATTATCCAAGAATATCACTTGCTCAGTCTCCACAAAATTAGCTACATGACCTTCATCATTTGTACCACGTACATTGAATCTATAATGAAATGTTTAGGAACACATTTTCAAGAGAGTGACTTATTATAACCTTGTTCCTGCTCTTTCACAGCTGAGACGTGAAATGACAGATGCCAGGGCTTTCCTATGACCTACATAGACAGTGCGTATCTCTACAGAACCACACATAGCTCTCACAAGCCAGCTGCTACAGTCTACTCCAAATCTCACTAGGTGAACATGTAACATTCGATTCCTGAAATTCATCAAAGAAACCAGTTCTCATTGAATGAAATGTCCACCAATATGATGTGGTAAAACATGGAATTTGAATAAAATCCTCATCCTAGAACTGAAAAAGCTGGATAATGTGTATTTTGACCAGATTCCCAATATTCTGACTAGACAAAATTACATTGGAGTTTATGAATCTTTGGGATGAGATACCTGATGCAAATATTTGATGAATTCTTGAGTAGATAGAGGTACTTATTCAATTTCTCATTCATAAGATTTGCATTATACTGACCAGAAAAACCTGTGATCTGTGGTAGATGTTTTGTTTCTTCTTTGAGCACATAAAGTGAGATCAAGTGGGGTTCCTCCTGGTGCACCAGAGTACCAGGAAAAATAAAATGTACCAGAGTTCAGCAATTTTCTGACTTCACTAATGCGATCTTCATTTTGTGAGAAATGTAAGGGTACAAATTGGGTTTGTGTTATTCTAAATATCTCAGAATCTCCAACCTTTCCAATAGAGAAACAACCAGTTATCATTACCAGGTATAACACAGAGGTTTCTCCTGCATTTAGTTGGAGGACCCCAAGGCAACCATATGCATCTAATATCTTGGTGTATTGTTTCTTCACTGCTTCAGTTTCTTGTGCAGCTAAAACAGTTTTCTTTGAAAAAGATTGCAAAGACGGCTTGAGAAGACTCACATAATACTGCCACTGCCTGAGATTCAAACAGGATGGTATCTTCTTTCCCTCTGTGTTCCAAGAGAACACTGTGAGGACTTGGTGGTTTTGATTTCTCAAAAACACGAAATCCTTTGTACATGGCCATTCTGCCTTGGTTTTGTGAGATACTGTTGTTATCCGAGACCGGCTAATGCTGTGGCCACTGCTTTCTGGAAAAGTTTATTGACATTAATTATTGTGATTGGTGATATTCATACAATACACCCCCGCAAAATCAATTTCCCATTTCCCAAGTGTTTTGACAGATTTTTGATAATCAGCTGAGCTGAGTCAATTCTCAGAGAACAGTCAGAACAGACAGAAAACAGAAATCCAGAAATCTACATGCTATCCTCACGAACCAGCTCCCTCTAGCATCGGAACGTACAAACGGAACAATTTACGGGTATCGATTCAAACTCTCAAAGTTATCCATTCTGATACTAGTGTAGCGTAGTGTCAAAGAGATGGCGCGTAAATCACAATTCGCAACTGTAAATTCGCACTAGTTGATTTCTTTATTGTCTGATTTTGAAATATACCGGATGTTTTTCAAAAGTGGCTCACCCCTATAACTTTTTCGTTTCAACAGATAAACAAATGAATTTAGGTGTGTTAGTATAGTACATAAATATGGCGTCGTTTGACGTATTCAATTGTTTTCTGTCACTTCCGGTTTGATCGGATATTACCCCTATTTTCTTATTTTAAATAGGACACATTTGCACTTTTTGACATTTATCATCATCCTGAAATTTTCATTTTTCAATTTTCAATGCCATATAAATGAATTAAGACAGTTGATTTTGAATCAAGTTGTCGAGGAAAAATTGTTTCAATGAAGTTTCACTTTCCATTTGTGGCACAGTTTCATTTAAACTTTACATTTAATATCGTAATTATATCACCATATCTGGAAAGGGTATTTTGTTACGAACACGTTGAAACCATATATATAATCGATATTTTGAATCAATATCCAGTATCATAATCTGCCTGAACGCTCTAATGGTTTATTGTGATGAAGCGTCATCGTTGATAATAAAAAGAATATACAGTGTGGCCCACTTGAAAGCGGCACACCTCAATATAAATTTCGTATTTATTCATCGATTTCGATGAACTTTCTCTCGAGCTTGAAAAACTGTACACGAAACATTTTTTCTTTACAAAAACCAATAAGGCCTCTACTGCGTATATACCGGATATATAGGCATGATGCATAACATTTTGCAGTTATTGTTTTCGAGTCTTCTTGAAAAACAAAGCACTCAGGTATATCCACTATCACTTATCACGTATCACACATTATTTCGACAGAGAATGAAACTTTGGAAATCTATTGAAAATGAAACTTTTACTGTCTGCTTATAAGGCTTTTGTGTATCACTGTCATTCCCTGAGTAGAAAAAATGACTTCAAAATATTATGTCTATCCATGACTTGCCTTGACTTGAAAAATCTGAATGAATGAATATCTATAGTATTATCCTTAGTAATTTTGAATACATGTTCTTATTTTCAATCAAATCGCAAATAAATTAGTATCGTTAGATTTTTCAAAGAATCCAGTACGCCTTGGTTTTTGTACAAAACAGAAAATGTTTCGTCCTCAAGTAGGGGAAATATGCCTGTGTTGGCATACCAGACGAGTTGGCATATTGGTACTTTCTCAGCTTCTAAAAACTTTGCGGCGCAATTAACCTTCTCCTTCTGTTTACTTATTGTGTGCAAGCCGGTAAATGTGTTTGTGGCTACTTCCGACAATAAATAAAAAAGTTTATGACAATTTTGTTTTTTTGAAGGTGAGAAATGTTGAATTTACTCTTATAACTTGCTGCAAAACATAAACATCCAATATCTTTTTGAATTCCAACAAACGTAAATCGATTTTGTGAACCTAACCTCGAAATTCTACGTTATAACCGTTGCTATGTTGTAACTGGTTGTGAGTAAATAGGTCATATTTTTTGAAAAGCGTTTTCGGGCGAGTTGGCATACTGTTGATTCGGGCTAGTTGGCATAGTATGCCAACTCGCCCTTACGTAACAAAATCAATAAGTTATTTTGTTGTAATTGTTGTTGCAGATTTAAGTGAACATGCTTGGAAATGAAAATTGGATTCGTTGCTTGTCTTGTAATAAATGGGCCCACTGCGATTGTTCAGGTTGCTCCTTCAAAACAAAACAGTATATTTGTGAACTTTGTGTTTAACTTTCAAGTAGTACTCCCTATTCTTTTCAAACTTCACTTTTTTCATTAATAATATTTGTTTTTCATATTTTTGGGTTCTGTTCATTTTAGTTTTAGGTATTTATCATTGTACCTGACTGTATAAGTTAAGCGTTACATTTCCGTTATATTTTTTATTGAATGAACTTTGACAATGATATCTCATTTAATATTTATTCACTTCAAGTAAGTCCAGTTTGGGCAAGATGGCATACCATGCCATCTTACCCGGAATATTCAGCCCGAGATGGCATAGCGAGGTGATTTAAAAAACATATATACTCAACCTGAAAACACAGTTAGGGTTCTATTAATTTTTTTGTTGTTAGGCTAGGTATTTTCGTATTCAACTACCAAGTTTCAGCCCGTAAATCTCAAAAATAACTTGAAAAAAAAAATATTTACAAAATGTATGCCAACTCAGGCACATTTCCCCTACAGTTTCTCAAACTCCATAATCAAAAGAAAGTGCGTCGAAATCGGTGAATCAAAACAAATTTTATCGTGGTATCCCGCTTTCAAGTGGGTCACACTGATGTATATACGTTCACATGAACTTTTCATTTTGAAAATATGTTCTTTGGACGTTTCGGGAACGAATCTGCTCCCCTTTTAAACATAAAAAATGGATATTTGAATAATTTCTTGTTTGTCTTGACACTTTTCTGGTTCTTAGTGACTGAGACAGAATTCTTCTTTTAGGCTCTCTGATAGGAAAACTCTTCAAACGCAGTGACATTTTGGGGGCAAATCATATCTGATTTGTCCTTACTACACGTATATTGAAATAATATTTATATTTCAATTTTATGGAAACGAGTGAAAATCCCAAAACATGTGGAATGATGATTGAAAATACGTATTCTTCAAGCTGTTGAAGTCCTGCTAAAAAATCAAAAATGATTGATTTCATCATCATCACATAACAATTTGATTGGTGCAGCGATAACGAACGTATAACATTCAGAGAAAAATAAGGGTCTATCAAGTGAATAAGTATGGCTATAAATTGCGCGTAATGCCAGACGCGTGCTTTGTTACGACAAAGTGGTTATTACGAGGCCCTAGCCATATGCCACGCGCCACCTCTTTGTTGTGATAACTACACAAATACATCGAGTTGAGGCTACAAGTACAGGGATCCATTCTATCACCACCACATCCCACATCCCACATCAGAGATCTTTGAAGACTTACCATTACAGTCCAACAAAAACGCTCTGGTTGCATCAGGTGCTCGTCCCCTCTGTTTTAGATGAGTACAATATAGGGGAGAACTACCTATGATGGCACCCCTAACGAATAATCTCGATATCAAAGTAACAAATTGATATTCGAATGAATTTTTTTCATCAGTCTCTAGTTTTTCATTACTATATAATTAAACAGCATTGCGAAGGAGTGAATTTTCAAAAGATTTTCTCTGAAAAACGAAGACATATTTTTAGCCATCATACGCACTTGATTTGATGATATCATTTGATGGCATAATTGATTTCCTATGATGGCATACTCAATTTTCTTGCCTTGTTCATGGTTCTGATTTTCCGCCATTATACTTTCGAGAAAAACAGATAGTTGAACAACACAGGACACCATCTAGTCCTATGATGGCATAGTATGCTATCACCTAGACGTGTGATGGCACACTATGCCATCAAAGGTCAATGTTAGGTATGCCAACATGCGAAAACTGCATAATTTTGTAATTATTTTTTTTCTATGCTAATCTAGTATGCAATATTCAATGCATCATATGGAATGCAAGGTTTTGGTTATTGAACCTTTATGGACGAATATTAATAGAAAAAAACAAGCAGGACTTGATATATCACTACAATAATGCAAACTTTTCTTACATCAGTACTCACCAAATATAGATTACTCTCGTAAAAATTTAGAGAAGGGTATATCTTCAACATTTAGAGGACAACTGAAACCTTCGTTATGCCAACGTGGAACAGTACAGCTCTTCAAAATATCCAATGAAAGGGGAAATATGGCTACTATGCCTACTTGGGAACTATGCCTAGTTAGGTGGTTCTCCCCTACTACTAGTTCATTTGCAAACCACATATTGAATGATAAAGATAATTTTGAGTTTAACCAAGATTCAAATATTTGGCATGTGCATCAAAAAAGTACGACGCGTCTGAACTGCCTTCCTAAAAAAACTTTTTTTTCACGAACATTTGCCTAATTTACAGTTCCACATTAGTACTAATTTACAGTTGCAACTGTAAATTAAAGTCTCACAGTCTCAGTTCTCACAATTTCTCACCAGACTACCAGACAAAGGCAGCCTTTCATTCTTGGATAGCACACGATGCGCTGAGACTGTGAGACTCTAATTTACAGTTGCAACTGTAAATTAGGCAGAAGAATACTATCTGTAGGTTAATCGAGAAGGTGGTACATTTAATAATCTCCTCGAGAAGAGAATATCCCAAAAAAATCTAGAATAATGTAGGCAGAAGAAACTTTTTTTTTCAAAATATCTCCTAATTTACAGTTGCAACAGTAAATTAGTGCTGATTCACAGTTGCAACTGAAAATACAGAGAAAACACCAAAAAAGTCTGGAATAATGTAGGCAGAAGAACCTTATTTTTTCAAATATCTCCTAATTTACAGTTACTGTAAATTACGAAAAAATGTTCGTGAAAAAAAAAGTTTTTTTAGGATACACTACACTGTTTTACCATTATCCAAACCGATTTTTTAAACGCATCGACACGTGTTTCGCTAACTATGTTAGCATCTTCAGGAGAAGATTAGAACAGTTTCAATCTCTTCTAATCATTTTGTTATGTTTCTCAATAGGTGTCTGAAATTTCTCGAAAAACAGATGGTTCAGTCAATTTCTTGATTTTGT